TGTCCAGGAAGCACCGGCTGCTTGGATTCCACCTGCCCGAACTGGCCGGATCTCTGAGTGCCATCTCTTGGCTGCTGGTGTTGCTTTTTTCTGCTTCCTTTGATTTCTTCCTTACCTCTCACCACCTCCCCCTCCTTTCGCTCAAATACCTGGCTCTGTGCGTCATCTTTGCTTCTTCCTGAGGGGCTGCGGAGCTCTGGTAATTTGTGATACACGCTTCCCCACCCCCGTTCACCCACACTCGGCCTCCTCTGCTTCCGGTGGACACAGTCTCTTGTCCAGGAAGCACCAGCTGCTTGGATTCTGCCCGCCCGCACTAGCTGGCTCTCTGAGTGCCGTTTGTTGGCTGCTGGTGTTGCTTTTTTTTTCTGCTTCTTTTAATTTCTTCCTTATCTCTCACCACCTCCCCCTCCTTTCACTCAAATACCTGGCTCCGTGTTCCATCTTTGCGTCTTCCTGAGGGGCTGTGGAGCTCCGTTCAAGTGTGAAACTGCTTCCTGGTCTGGGATGCCACTCTGGTGGGATCCCAGGGCTTTTGTTTGTTTTCTTTTCCTTTTCTTGAGTTGGGAGCCTGTTCTGGCCGGGCGGTGCTGCAGGGCTTGGAACGTATCCCCTCGGCTTGCGCAGATGCGCAGAGGGATCCCTGAGAGCATTTCTTTTCTTGTGAGTTTTTTTTTGGGGGGGGGGCTTTTCTTGTTATTTTTTTTAAAATTTGTTTCGTTTTCCCTCTTTTTCCCCTTTTGTCTTTCTTCATTACTCAGTTTCTCGTCTCTCTATACCTTCCGTCTCTTTCTGTTCCCTGAATCCCTGGCACTGAATACCTCTACACCTTCTAGCCAGGCTGTACTGCAACACCTGAGAACAACTTCCCCAGACCTCATAGCCGCACCGGTGGGATACCTGGGAACTTTGCTGTCCTTTTCCCTTTCTGATTTTTATTTATTCATTCTTTTATTTTCTTTCTCTTTCCCTTTTTGTTTTTCTCCATTTCATAGTCTCTCATGTCTCCACTCCAATGGCAAGCTCCCCTAGCATTCTTTTTTGTTCGTATAATTTTGGCTCCTGTTCCTCTCTCCCATATCCATCTTAGCTCCACACATAACAATCTCCCCCCTACATCCTGCTTACCTGCACTGTGTGCTTAACATCACACCACCAAGCAGCACAGGCACAGCCTACTGGAACCTGCCCTGAACTGATTACCGACCCGCCCTGGTGGCTGTAGTAAGTGCCACAAACAAACAACCCGTTCCAGTAACTCCTCTTCAGCTAGGCCCGCCCTGCTTTACCATATCTGAGTGACTGACACTGCCAATTGGAGAAGGAGGCTAAAAGTATCGTGTCCACAGACAAGCAAACAACAAAGAACACATAGCCCGCCTGCTCAGACATAACCAAATTATTAAACAAAAAAGGATGAAGCAAACAAATCTACAATCAATAACTAGTAGAAAAATAACTACTGAATGCCCCAAAGACAGCAGACAATATCAAAACATATGCCCCAAAGACAGCAGACAATATCAAAACATTTATAAAAACAGGACAGGATGGTTCCAGTAGGTGTCCAAAATAAAACACCAGATGATTTTCCAGTAGAAGAAAAGGCACTAGAACTACCTGACAGGGAATTCAAATCTCTGATACTCAGAATTCTCCAAGAGTTGAAGCAAAAAGCAGACAAAAATGAGGAAAAAATAGACA